CGCCTTTGATGACCTCCTCTCAGAAGTCACACACCATCAAGTCCACAAATCCCATTGGTTACACAGGTCAGCCCTGTTCATGAGGAGGGGGACCACCTGAGGGCATGAGCCCTAGCTACCAGAAGGCAAGAATCATGGGGTGGGGGACATCTTTGAGTCTGCCCTTAGAGGCGGTGCCATTGTATCGTGAACAACATGCACAACAGTAATTTCGGCGCTGCTGGGCCCCTGCCGTAGACCTTCACCAACTGCGTGCCAGGACTGTGCTAAGCATCGTAATGACAGTCTGTCCTCAAGCAGCTTACAATCTAGCAGAAACACCGAGACACAGAAAATAAGTTACAGTACAAGGCAGAGTGAGATCAATGGCAGGAGTCACCCGGGGTTCAGGAGATCTAAAGGCTGGAGAGGCCTGGCATCTGAACTGAGAGACAGACAAAGGGTCATCTGAGTGGAGTCTTGAAGTGTGGGTGGGATGGGCCCCTGAAGAAGGAGGATGCTGGACGTGCAGGGTGCTGGGTGCTCTCCAGCCAGGACCTCAGCATGAGCAAAGGCACGGAGGCTGGGAAGCAGGATTCATGTCAGGGGATTAGAGGGAAGAAGATACAGGGCTAGGATGTGGAGCACATTTGAGATCAGTGCTGTGGGCAGTCAGCTCAGAAGGCACGACGGAAAAGCCTGATGGAGCCTCAGCTCCATTTCCTCCGCTCCCCTCCTCCCTCCTCGCCTGGCAGAGCTTTGCCAGAACCGGGGGCTGCTTGCACGGAGCAGAGGAGGCTGCCCGGGAACAAGTGGGCAAGTCCCAGGGTCCCCTCTGGGGTCTCAGAGCCACTTTGCCCATTCTGAGGAAAGCAGCATCCTGGAGCTCGCGTCGGAAGTCTTCCTGATGCTGCAGCTGCTGAGGCCGGCCAAGCCTTCATCCGCCTGCTGCCCCGGCCTGCCTGGCCCTCCTAGGAAAGTAGGGCCAACCTCCCCTGCCAACCCAAATCTTCCCACCCCTCCTGCACAGAGGCACCCCTGAGCATCTCTGAATGCCCGGAGCCTGGGCCCCTCGGGCGATAGCAGGGACAACTGGCCCTTCTTGGTGGCCTTTGTGGAGAGGTAGGAGGTAGATCGGTTGTTAAGAGCTTGGCCTGGGGAACCAGCCTTCGGACTCAGATCTTTATGCCTTAACTTAATGTCTCTGTGATTCTCCTTCTCCTCCTTTGTAAGATAGGGACGGTGATGATTATAGGAGCTAAATCCCGGTTGTTGTGAAGAGGAGCAGGCCTGAGGGCAGATGATGGTCCTGATCCCTCATTTGGGAACCCCATTGTGTAGGGCAGCCACGGGGCCTGCAGAGAGAAGGTGCTGGCCGAGACTGGCCCAGCCCTATCCTCCCTAGGAGGCCTGAGTGTCTAAAGCAGGAAGCTGGGGCCCAAGATGGTGGGGACCAGGGTCCTCGGGGCCCCCCCTCACTGCACAGAAGGTCATGTTGCACCTGGCTGCAACAGAGCAGCCCGCCTGGGACCCACAGCACGCATAGCAGCCGTGAAGGAGCCACCCAGCCTGGAGCCTCTCAGCTTGCCAGGCATCCTTAAGCCCTCTGCTTTCCCTCTGGCCCCCACATGACAGCAGGGAGGCCTGGGGTGTCAGGGAAGGAAGGAACCTCAGAAGTCTCTCTGTGGCATGGACAGTTGAGGCCTGCAGCCTGGGGATGCCCTCCCTGGTCAGAGAGAAAGGGGGGAGTCCTACATAGGACCTCAGGGGGACCCGAGCCTCCCAGAGAGATGTAGAAATGGGATGGTTTTTCAGTAGACAAGAATCAAGTTAAATGCGGCCATTCAGAGCAGAACCCCAGACCTAGAGTGCCTTGGTGGCACTGCCCACTTTGCACTTGCTGTTCCCACAGCCTGGAACACTGTTCCCCACGTCGTCCCATGACTGGATCCTTCTCACCATCCAGGCAAAGACACCTCCTCAAGGAGGACTTCCCTGACCACTCTGAGTAAAGTAGGCTCCCTCTCCCCACCACCTCACCCACTACTATAGGTAGATGATAAATAACACTGGGGTGGAAGAAGATTTATTGACTGGTTTAGGTTGTTTCTATCATTTGATTTTTTAACTTAAGCTTTTTATTTTTGACATAATTTGTTGATTCACATGTAGTTTTAAGAAATAATCCAGATATACCCTGTCCATTTTACCTAGCTTTCTCCAATGGTAACATCTTTCAAGATCACAGTATGACATCAACCGTGATATTGACCTTGACGCAGTCTAGATATGGGACATTCCCATCACCAGGAGGGTCCCTCATGTTGCCTTTTATAACCACGCCCACCTCCTTCCTGCCCCAGCCCCTCCTTAGCCACTAGCAACCCCTCCCCATGCTCTCCATCTCTATAATTATGCCACCTCAAGAACTTATGTAAATGGAATCATATAGGATGTAACCTATCAGTATTGCCTTTTTTCACTCTGACTTAACCAGGGATTTTTATGCATCAGTAGCTTTTGATTGCTTTTGATTGCTGACTAGTCCTCCCTGGTATGGATGCACTGCAGCTTGGTGAACCGTTCACCCACTGAAGGACATCTGGGTTCTTTCCAGCTACTGACTACTATGCACAAAGCAGCTGGGAACATATGCATTGAGGTTGTGTGGACCTAAGTTTTTATTTCTCTGGGATAAATGCTCACGAGTCCTTGCTAGGTCATATGGCAATTACATATTTAGTTTTTTAAGAAACCACCAAATTGTTTTCCAGGGAGGCTGTACCATTTTACATGCCCACCAGCAATGGCTGAGTGGTCCAGTTTCCCCACATCCTCGCCAGCATTTGGTGTTATCACTATTTTTATTTTAGCCATTCTGAGAGTTGTGTAGGGAGCTCTCATTCCTCTTTGGTGAATCTTGCTGTATCTTTATCACAGTTAATGTCTCTGTAAGCTGGGTTAGAGCAGGGGCTTTCTTGGTCTACTCTCTCTGCATCCCCGGAGGTCAGGGCAGGGCCTGGCACAGGGAGAAACCCAGTGATGATTTAGGGAATGAATGCATGGCCGGTGGGGTCTCTGGCCCTTTTAAAGATGAGAAGGCGGGAAGACAGCAAGGCCTTCACTCGGGGAAACCTCCTGAGCCCCTCCCCGCAGTGGGATCGCTCAGGGAAGCCTTGGGCCCTCGGTGATGGGGGAGGATGGGAGTGGGAAGGAGCACCAGCACCCTGCACTCCCGCCAGGCTCCTGGTACCTCCAGACCCCATTCAGCGCACATACTGTGTGCTCGGCACTCCTCACTCCTCCCCTCGCACTGCATCTGCCTTCCCAGGGTAGAAACACCCAGAAGATAAATGTGTGGAGATCTCCAAATCTCTTCTCACGGGGGCGTGAGGCTTTCAGGTTTTGTTTTTATTTTTATTTTCTCTCCACTGTAATCACACCGGGGTATGGGCCTGGCTTTTGCTAGGATTTACGCATGGGCCAAAATCAAGCTTTGCCCTAAGTAAAAGGGTTCTCCAGGCAATGGCATAAAAATTAAGATTTTTTTTTTTTTTTGGTCCAGGTTGAGCCTGCTGACTTGGGCTATGAGTCTTGCTCCCTGCAGGGAGGTAATACCCGATATCCTCTGTCCTGCACTTTTCCCTCCTGGTAGCTCTCACAGGCCACACTTCATTTTTTGCATATAGAATGCTAAGGGGTCTCAGAAGAGGCTTCTCCCTGCAGGGGAAGTGTTTCCCTGAGGGTGACAGAATACAGACATGATACATTAATAATGTACTGGAATTTAATGTGGAATTTAAATGTGTATTTATACCTGAAACAGCTCACAGATACACATATGTAGGAGGTCAGTATTTAAAAGAAAAAAGAGATCAAGATGAGCAAAAGAAGAGAAACTTCATCAACTAAGATGAAGCCAGAAGGAAGGTCCAGAAGGCAAAACGTAGGCCATGAGGCCCCCATTCCCATCCTGAAAATGGGCCACAAAATTGGTTTTCAGATTCCTAGTGGCTGTATCCGTGTGCTCAGGCTGCCATAACAAAGCAGGAAAACCCTGGGGGGCTCCAACAACAGGGATCGATTTTCTCATGGTTCTGGAGGCTGGAGGTCCAAGGTCAAGGTGTCTGCGGGTTTGGTTTCTTCTGAGGCCTCTCTCTTGACTTGTCTTCTCGCTGTGTCTTCATGGGGTGGTCCCTCCGTGTGTGTCTGTGGTCTCCTCTCCTGCTACAACAATACCAGTCAGACCAGGCGAGGGCTCACTTGTATGACCTCGTTGTAACTTTAATCACCTCCTTAAAGGTCTTACCTCCAAATACAGTCACATTCTGAGATACTGAGGGTTAAGACTTCAACATAAATGGTGAGGGGACGCACCCCAGCTCAGCTTCTAACAGGAGCCAATAGGATCTAGATGTTCATCCATTACCTGAGTTAGAGGTTTTGTGGGGGGGGGAAAAAAAAAACCAGAGCATTTTCCCGGCAGGAGCCCTGAGAGGTGAGAGAACTGTCCCCCTGTGGCCCTTGACCCACGGATGTCATGTGGGTAAGTGGCGGACGCCATCCCCGGAGCACACAGAGAGGCTGAGGTTCACGCGGCCGTCCATTCCCGTGTTTCGCAGCTTCACGTTAATGAAGTGGAATTCAGCGAAAACGTGCTTTCGAGAAGCTGCCACAGCCTCGGTGGCACGGCGTGTACCAGCTGCCCAGTGAGAAGCCTAACTGCGAGGGCCTTCGGGGTCCTGGGAGAGAGCCCGCGCCTTGGACAGTGAGAAGCCTGGCTGGCCAGCTGGGCTCTGAACCGCAGGTGGGGTTTGGCAAAGCCGAGAGGGAGGAGGGCCGCCCTCCTAGTGGAGGGGGAGACCCTCGGCAAAGGCAGAGGTGCTGTGGCCAGCCCGCCCGCCAGCCTGGCTTCCCGGGGGTGGGGAGGGACCCCCCCAGCGCCGGGACTCCCCTCCCAGACGACGCCTCTCACCCCGGTCTCCTCTCTGTGCGCCCCCTGCAGGGCTCTGGCGGAGACCATGGCCAATGGCGTCGACGAGCTCATCGGCATCCCCTTCCCCAACCACAGCAGTGAGGTCCTGTGCAGCCTGAACGAGCAGCGGCACGACGGCCTGCTCTGCGACGTGCTCCTGGTGGTGCAGGAGCAGGAATACCGCACGCACCGCTCCGTCCTGGCGGCCTGCAGCAAGTACTTCAAGAAGCTGTTCACGGCCGGCGCCCTGGCCAGCCCGCCGTACGTCTATGAGATCGACTTCGTCCAGCCCGAGGCGCTGGCCGCCATCCTGGACTTCGCCTACACCTCCACGCTCACCATCACCGCCTCCAACGTCAAGCACATCCTCAACGCCGCCAGGATGCTGGAGATCCCGTGCATCGTGAACGTGTGTCTGGAGATCATGGAGCCCGGCGGGGCCGGCGGGGGGCAGCACGACAAGGAGGACGACGACGAGGACGAGGAGGACGAGGACGAGGATGACGACGAGGACGACGACGAGGACGACGATGAGGACGACGACGAGGACGACGCGGAGGACTTCGCCGACCAAGAAAACCTGCCCGACCCCCAGGACATCGACTGCCGCCAGAGCCCTTCCGAGTCGGACCGCCTCCCGGAGCAGGCCTACGCGGACCCGCCCGGGGCCTTCCCCGACTCCTTCCCGGCCGGCGGCCCCGGGCCTCTGGGCGTGATCCGGGACTTCTCCATCGAATCTCTGCTGAGGGAGAACCTGTACCCCGAGGCCAGCCTGGCCGACAGGAGGCCTTCCTTGTCTCCGTTCGCCCCTGACTTCTTCCCGCACCTCTGGCCGGCGGACTTCGGCGCCTTCGCCCGGCTGCCCGAGCAGCCCACGGACAGCGGGCCGCTAGACCTGGTGGTCAAGAACCGGAAGATTAAGGAGGAGGAGAAGGAGGAGCTGCCCCCACCCCCGCCGCCCCCCTTCCCTGGCGACTTCTTCAAGGACATGTTCCCCGACCTTCCTGGGGGGCCGCTGGGCCCCATCAAGGCGGAGAGTGACTACGGTGCCTATCTCAACTTCCTGAGTGCCACCCACCTGGGGGGCCTCTTCCCGCCCTGGCCGCTGGTGGAGGAGCGCAAGCTGAAACCCAAGGCCTCCCAGCAGTGCCCCATCTGCCACAAAGTCATCATGGGGGCCGGGAAGCTGCCTCGGCACATGAGGACCCACACCGGGGAGAAGCCATACATGTGTAATATCTGTGAGGTCCGCTTCACCAGGTGCGTACCACCGCCCTCAGGTGAGGGGCCGGAGCGGGTTGGGGGAGGTGTGGAGGGGGGTCAGGGGAGGGTCAGAGCGGGGCACGGGGGGCTGGGTTGGAGACAGCCAGTTCGGGGGCGTCCCAGCTGGATCCGAGACGCATGTCAAGTGTACTTGCTAGAAGGCACGCTCGGCATTACCTGGTGCGGGGATTTCCAAACTCGTTTTAAGAGCTAAAATATTTTCCGAAATACAGTACGAGGTGGGAGGCCAAGATATAATATAGTTGAGAGCAGAGCCGTTCTGGGTAAGTCCGAAGTGGGGGGGGGTGCCTCAGCTCCTTGCTCGCTTGACCTCCCTCTCCCCTTCCCCAGGTGGAAGCTCCCCAGCGGAGTGCCGCCTCTCTATTTTGCTCCGCGCATGCTCGGCATGCCAGGGGCTGTCCTAGGCATACTGCAGAGACCGTCACCACAACCAGGCCCTGGGAAGATGGGGAGGTGCTGTGGCCTCTGTTTGCAGATGATCAGTCCACTTCCTTGTGGCGAGTTGGCCCCCCCGTAAGCACCTGGAGAGGAAAATGCCAGAGCTGGGACTTGTATGACGGCAAAATCTGTGACCAGGAGACTACAGAGACCCCTGTATAGTCTTCCTGAATCCTCTTCCGGATCCCATCTAAAGGATAAGCCTCTTTTTATGCTCTCCCCGCTGACTCTCCATGTTAGGAAGAGGGTTAACTTTATGCCGTTATAGACTTTAAAATTTGAAATCAGTGCATTACAAACCTTTCATCTTTCACAGACCCTGTGCCATTCAGCAAAGGTGTGTTACGTACCTTCTCTACACTGCAACTTTCGGGTTCGAAATTGATTGGTGGGATGCTGTGGGGTCAGATGTGTTCCTTGCTTGGTTTTGCTGGCCCGCGTTTTGGGAAAATATGGTCTGTTGGGTCTGTGTGGTGGTCTCTGGTGTGAGGCTGACCCTCCCAGCCACTTCGACAGTGGAGAACCCTCTGGTGAGTGGCGTTGCCTCAGGGCTTGGTCATTTCTGTGGATCGGATGTGGACAGACCCTGGTGGACACCTGCCCTGTGACCATGACTTACCAGACTAGGTCCTTTCCCCGCACTGCCCCCGTCCCTGGCAAAGAACTCCCCTGGAGACCCACATTTGTGCCAAGGCTGCCGCTATTACCCCAGATCCTCTTGGAGATTTCTCTTTGGGAACTGCTGGGGGCTCGTTGCTTTGATTTTCCTCAGTGGGCCTCAGCTTTGGCCTTTGAGGAGAAAGTGACTTTTTTTTTTTTTTTTTTGAGCCAAGTTGAATAACAGCAAATAAGGGACAGTAGTTTTCGGGGGAAACAATTAGATGAGTCTTATAAAGTAATGAGACCCACTATCTTGGGTGGCTTCAAAACTCTATTTGAAGTTTCCAGAGAAGGGTATCAGCACTCTGTTCAAGCGACAGTGGCATGGCGGACAGAGTTCTGCAAGCTCCTTTGGTGACTGTTTCGAAGGATGATACTGATTGTTTCCAGGGTGGCCTTGGGGTCCCCGCACAGCTGCTTCTGAGAGGGAAACCCCAAACAGAATCTCTCCCAGATGCTTTGGGCTGACAGTACAGGGCGAGTCTCCAGGAGCAGAGGGGCAGGGCCCCACGTACCCCAGGTGCACTCCCTTCTCCCCTACAGTGCTGACCTCAGGGCGCTCTGCTCCTGTTATTTTGCCACACAGCAGCTGGACCCAAAGTTCCTGGGACTCACCTCCCTGGGATATCCCTCACTAATGGCCCTGCCACTCTATAATCACCCCTCCCTTACCCCACCGCCACCACCACCACCACTGCCTTCTCCTGAATTCACCTGAGCTCCACAGGCCAGGCTAGAACACCTGGATGACATGTGATAAAAGCACGGGTATAGTATTGGGGAGATAAACTAGGGCACAATCCACATTCGAGTACCATTCACCCATCTCCGGCCTGTGACGCCAAGCCCAGTCCCTTGGGAATTACTTCAAAGACAAGGACACCCTTCACAGGCCAGATCCAGCAAAGCCAGGCCCCAAGTCAGCCAAAACACCCCCTTCCTGCCATCCGGGGTCCACGTCCCTAATTTCCCACACCTGTTCCCTTCACACAAGGCTGACTCCGGGACACCTCTCCCCTTCAGGGGAGGCCCGGCTCTGTGGCTTCACGGGGATGCACATCTCAGCATGCCACACAGCAAGTCTGCCCAGCACCCCAAGTCCCTTCCCTCTCTGGCCCTCCCCTCCGGGCCTTTCCCACACACACAGCCTTCCGCGCAGGCCACGCCAGTCTGTGGACCCTGCCTTCCCTAGGGAAAGTGTTAAACTTGGTCAGTCACTGCAGACAGACTTCTTGCCCTCCTGACACGAGAACATTCTCTGAGGAGGCCTCCTGGTTTGGGTCAGGAGGCTGGGTTGTATAAGAGGGCTGCATTCCAGAACCCTCCCTCCCAGCACATTCCTGATGATCACTTAGAGGGCCTCTGTGCCTGCAGCCTCACCAGCCCTCCCAGCCAGATCAGCCATGGGGCGGTTCCGGCCGTGCGTCTGCCCTGCCCTCCCTCCGGTCTGCTTCTGCTCTTCTCTGGGCCCTCTGAAGCAGCCACGTTCCCGCCTCCGTCAGCACCTCCCCTCACCCAGCTCCCACTGGACTCTGACCCTGCTGAGAAAGATCAGAGTTGCTCTTGGCGCCCCCCTTCCCAGGAACAGAGACACCCCAGAGTAGGGGGAGGTTGGACATTTTCCTGGCCTCCTCCCACAAGGGACTCTGGGGACTTGATTTTGTACCGTGGGCTGTGGCTGACCACCCTCCCTGTCCCATTCTTCGCAAGACCCGGCTCCATGCTTCCCTCCTGCCCCCTCCTGCCCCCTCCCGGAGCTGCCCTGCAAGGCTTCTTCTCTGTCCCCTGGCTCGCAGCTTCTCCCAGCAGTCAAGTCCTCTTGCAGCCCCTCCACGGGGACCTTCTTGGTGGCTGACTTCCTGCACCACCTCCCACAACACCTTCCCACCCTCCCCAGATGGAGGCACTTCAGCAGCCCCTTGAAGCAGCTGCTGCCTCTTTGACCCAGAATTCCTAGCCTCCCTTGCAAGGCCAAGCTGCTCCTGGGGACCTAGCCCCCCAGAGTCTGAGGGAGCCAGGACCAGCCACCCTCGACTCCTCCTCTTCGACACTATTTTCCCTCTCTTTCCTTAAACATGGCTGAGCTTCTGCCCTCTGGTCAGGCCTCCTTTCCCTTCCCCTTGATGCTGACCCTACCTCCCATCACCCCAAGGGATGTTGGAGCCGCCCACCCTCCTCCTGCAAAGTGGCCCTTTGGCCCAGGCTCTGAGTTATGGCCTCAGATGCCAACTCCCAGAATGTCCACCCCCCATGGGAACATCATTCCTGACGGCTTCAGCAGCAGCAGTGGTGGAAGGATCGGGGATCCCTCCCACACAGCCCATTCTGCCCCTAAAGCTCTCATTCTATGGTTCTCCAAGAAGAGAGGGGAAGGCCTCCCCCACCACGGTGTTGTCTCTTCCTTGGCATCAGACCCTCACCTCGGAGACGGTGCTCCATTTCAACCAGCCCTGGGGACCGTTGTCTTTCCACTGATTGTTCCAGATGTGAGACTCCCCTGGAGCCCCAGGCAGGGCCTCAGAGGCCTCAACCAGACTATGTTTCTTTGGGCCCACGCTGTCCCCTCCTAGCTCTGGTCACCCCACAATCACTTGGGAGTCCTTCTGCCTGTGCCTCGCACCCTGAGCATCACTCTCTGGCCAGCTGCGACCTCACCAGGCTCCACCGGGCCTCCTGCCACCATCCCATAAAGGCTGCAGGACTTCGCTTCCGACACCTGCCACCAGCATGAGCCCCGTGCTGGTTGCTCCACACGCCCACAGTGGTCTGCTCTCCAGACCAGGCCAGGAGCCTGGCTGCTGCCTTTTTCCAGTATTTTCCTTTTAGCCCTCCCACTCCTGGCAGCCCTGGGGACCTTATTAAGATAATGCAATGTCATTAGCAGTGGCACCAGGAAGAGGGTTTGTCTCAGACCGTCAGGTTACCAAGAAGTATGGGCGGATGGTGCTGGGAAAGCATTATCGGGACTGGGAGCCCTCGTGGAGGCTGGGGAGCCCGGGCGAGACCCCGCGGCCCTTTCCTTCACTCGGCGGAATGAGCTCATAAGGACCGGCACAGCTTTCCCATGACAACGAGCTCTCTGGGCTGGAAGGGGGAATGCAGATCAAGGCCTGGGTGCACGTGGCCTGGGCTGGTCCCCAGGGCAGGGTCAAGGAAGGGGATGGCAGACAAGGGGGTCAGGGCGAGCCAGAGCACACTGGAGTTGGAGCCAGGGAATTCTGAGAACTGATCCTGCACCAGCAGGTCATGGGTCAGTCGGCAAAGGCACCATGAGCCCCCACGGCACGCTCCGTGTGGTGTACCAACCATGCAGAATACAAAAGCGTATGACAGGTTCTCCTCAAAGCAGGTCGGGTAGCTTCAGTGCCGCAGACTGAGGGTGCCCGGGACCCGCTAAGTGCTGCTGAATGGGGGTGGGGGGATGGGGGCTCGGTTTCTCAGTGGCCTGTGGCGCCTTGGAAAGAGCACTGGAGTGGTAATCAGGAACCCCAGGTTCAGGGCCTGGTTCTGCCTCTAACGGACAATGTGACCTTGGCCTCCCCCCGCACCACCCCCCTCCGCCCCGAGCCTCAGGTTCCCATGTGTAATTTGTGGGGCTTGGAGCAAGTGTTTCCTATGGTTGCTCCCAAGCCCATAACTCCATCCATACATTGCCCAAGATCAGGGAAGCTACGGACACATTGCCGCAGCCTGTCTGTCCCCATTTCCTCATGATGAGGATGGCAACACCAACTCCATAGGCTTCGGTGACGTAGGGCGTAATTGCCTGGTGCACAGCGAGCACCTGACCCCTGCTAATGATTCGTACTGAGAGCCTTGGTTCCTTATCTGCAGCAGCTGGGGCCAGTGCTCCCTGCCCATGGGTGGGCTCCCCTGCATCATCATGCTACCCAGGCTTCTGACGAGACAGGGCTGCAGGGGCTGGGGACAAGGCAGTGGCTCTGCAGGGATGCGGGGCAGCTAAGGGGAACAGCACATGTGATGGCCCCTGCCCTGGAAATAACATGCACGGAAAACAGAGCCGCAAGGGCGGCCTCTGAGCAGTGTTTCCATCCGCCGAGAGTGCCCGTGTGGTCGAGCAGGGGCCATAGATGGTGCAGACGGAGAGGCTTGGCTCCCAGAGATCACGCCCTGCCGGGGGAGGGGGGCGGGGGGGCAGGGACAGTGCCGACACCACCACGGGGCAGGAGAAGCTGAGGCTGACACATTCTTTTCTATTGCTCCCTCCTTGCCCCTCCAGTGACCTAGCCTCAGGGGCAGTATTCAGGTCCCAGGTGCTCCAGAAGGTGAGGGCCAAGGACAAGACCTGGGTGGACAGGGAAAGATTTGTAGAGGCTTGCCCTTGAATGTGACCTTGAAGGGCGGGGGTGGTGAGTTGGGAGTGGGAGACATTTCAGGCAGTGCAGTTTGCCAAAGCAAATGGAGAAAGAGGTGCAGGGAGGAGGGGGCCCCGAAAGAGGGTTCACGGCGGGGGAGGAAGGAGCATGCACACTGACATCTGGGCTTGGACCTCTGGTGGGACCCCAGAGACGGCACACTGGTGTCCAAACACAAGATCTGCACAGAAAGGGAAGGAGACGGGGTTTACCAAGCTTCCATTTCATAATATGGCAGGCTCTGCACTGGAGGGAGGGACAGCTGGAAGTCCAGCTCACGCCAGCTGGTGTTCAAAGATACAGAGTTGACCAGAGCGTGACCCACTAGGGGAACAGCATATCCCTGTGGTGTCGGGGGGGCAGTACTCCGGGGAGGGGAGTGAGCAAGTAGACGGGTGATCTTTTTTTTTTTCCCCACCTTTATTGAGATATAACTGACATACAACATAGAAGTTTAAGGTCTACAATGTCATGATACCACACTAACATGGTGGTACACACATTGACACATCCAGCACCTCAGATGGTTACATTTTGTGTGTGTATGGCAAGAACACTTCAGATCTACTCTCCTAGCAGCTTTTGAGTAGACAATGCAGTATTGTTAACTATAGTCACTGGGGGGTCCCCCGAACTTACTCATTTAGTAACTGGAAGGGTTAGCTTGTAAGGGCCTTGCAAGCCATGCCAAGGAGTAAGTTAGCACATCGGCTATCAGACAGAGGCAGCCTCAGGAGATTTTTAGTGGGACCACCAGACCTCTAGTCCCAAATGGAAGTGACCAAGAGCTCAGCTCCTGAGATTCAAGCTAGAATACTTTCCAACTAAACTTATGCCCCCTCCACAAACAAATCAGATTCGTGAGGAAGCAGGGGTAGAAGAGCCATAATATATGAAGCCAACTAGCTAGAAGGAGATTCAGTATAAGCCCATTCCCCAGATGCAAACACTCACAGAACACCAGAGGTCAAAATGGTGCATCCCAGCCCCCCATTTTAGAGGTCAGGAAGCTGAGGCCCAGGGCACTTAAGGACCTGGTCCAGTTCTTGCAGCGTGCCTGGCCTTGGGCCTGGCTCTACCAATGCACCTGAGCATTATATCCACATGCACAGGTCGTAACAGGAACGAGGAGGAGGTGTGACCTTAGAAAGCCATTCCCTCTCTGTCTTTGCCTTCCTTATCTTGAGAGTTAAGGGGTTGAATGAAATCAGTATTTTCAAGGTCCCAGCAAATAATGCAGGTGACCCAGCCCACTGACTCAGACTGTGAATCAGAACATATTAATGTGATCCTGGTAGACTAGATGATCTCTAAATTTTTTTTCCAGAACTAACTTATCATGGGCTTTGCAGCTCTACTAAGCCTCCCCACTGCTCCCACGAAACAAAAGTCACCGTTAGGGACAGCGGGCTTCTGCCCAGGGCAGAGCTCCTCCCATGCATGCCCCAGTCTTCTGGCCCCAGAGGCAGAAAGCTGGCTACAAATGCTCTGATTGTTCTGGTCTGCACTTCCTGCCCTGATAGGCCGTGGGCTGGGAGCCCCCTGTTTGAAAATCTACCTTTCTCAACCTCAGAATAGCTTGCAAAGAAACCATACCCCAGCTGGCTCCCCAGGCCTCCTTGCCCCTCATGGCTGGATACGTTTGGGAAAGCTGCTTGACTTCACTGAGCCTCAGCTCATCCTCTAAGTGAGGAAATTATTCTAGGTATGTTGAATCTAGTTCATACGAACCCAGATTCTCTCATTGGTCCTAGATAATAGGAACTGATGTGTGGCCCTTGATTCATTTCTGCACAGAGAGGTTAAGTACCTTGCTTAAGGTCACGCAGCAAGTTAGTGGTGGGTCCGCAGCTGCCGCAGGGACTCCCAGACCCCTAATGGCGGCCCCATCCCTACACCACAACTTGCCTCTGCATAACAACCTTCTCAGGTCATTGAAATGGTGGATTCATCTGCCCCTAGCAGGTGTTCAATAAAGGAAGTGATAGTCACCTTCTCCGCACTTCTTACACACTTCAGTTAAGTGCTGTTAAAATGTGCCTTATTTTGGATGCTCTAATGAAAAGCTTGGGAGAAGTGGTAGATATTTATAGTAGGCCCTGAATAGCTGAAGATTTACCATTTGCATTGTCCATTATTTGAGGGTGACCCTCAACATCAATACTATTAATTTTGTGCAATAGTGATTTTGAAAAATATCCACCTTACCAGGTCATGGAAGGATTAAATGAGGTAATATACTTAACGGCCCAGTGCTGACTCCGCACTGAACCCTCCACCAGGCGCTGGGGACGACACAAGTCCCACAGCCAATGACCAGCTAGCTTCGGCACTTCCCAGAGAGCCTTGGTGAATGGGTGGAATCCCAAGACTCATCCCTCATGACTAAATTGGCATTTAGCTCTTAAGGTATAAATGGTACCAGGCACCCCACTCCTACAATGGTGAAGAACAAGGCCTGAATTCTAGGCTCAGCTCTGCCATTACTCCTCTGGGTGACCTTGGTGAGTTTCCCTCCTAGGACCCCCGTTTTCCCTCCAGCAAAGGTGGTTCTTCAGGTGGTGCATGGACTCGCAGCAGCGGCAGTTGCAACTTGTTAGGAATGCAAATTCTCTGCCCCACCCCCCAACCTCCCAAATCAGAATCTCTGGGAGTGGGGCCCAGTGTGCTGCTTCATCAAGCCCTGAGGGCCCTTCTTAGGCAGGGTCAAGTTTGAGACCCACTAGCCCAGAAGCTCGCTAAGACGGCTTCCTATTCAAACCCCCAATCGGCCGGATGAAATGTGGGTTATAGATACCATAAGGGCAGCATGCTGGCTGGGGAAGGGAACATGGGATGTCACAGCAGGGTGTTACGCAGCCTGGGCGCGGCGGGTGGGTTGTGGGAGGGGCAGGGACAGGGAGTGGGGACGAGAAGAGGGTCTGGTGTGTGGAGACACCTGCCAGCTTCAGACAGCAGCATTCACCTCCTTCTCCCTGCCTATCCCGCTTCCCACCCCCATCTCTATCTCCCAGGTACCCTTGTGCCTTCCTGCTGGGAGCACAGGTGGAAGGGGTGGCTCTGTCCTCCCTGGTCCTCCTCCCCTGGTCCCTGCCAGTCTACAGGAGAATGTCCTTTTCTCTCCTGCCCCACCCCTGGGGAACCAGTCCAAAAATGAGAGCCAGTGAGACCTCTAGCGGCCGGGAGACACCAGGAGACAGGGACCTGCTCCTGCGGTCCTGGGGTTATATTGAGCATGGTTTAAATCTGGCCATTTTAGGGCGGATGCCTGGGCTCCTCATCTGCTCCGACCTCAAACCCGAGCCAAAAATTACAGGCAGATGCTCCACCCGAGCCACACCTGCGGGGAGGACGTAGGAGGACACGGAGCTTGTTGGCCTGCAGGGCTGGCTGGGGAAGGCTACAGAAGGACCGTGAGATGAGTTCTTACAGCCCACCTGACTCCACTTCAGCCAGGCTGGAAGGTTCCGTTAGCCGGCTTGTGCGGCACTCAGTCTTTAGGAAGACAACCCTGTGGTGTCAGTTTTCTTTTCAAGATCACCAGGAGGTGTACTGAATCTATTTGACACAAACCCAGATTCTCTCCGTCAGCCCTGGATAATAGAAACTAATGTCTAATGCTAAATTCAGCTCCGTGCAGAGATGTTAAGTAACTTGCCTGCGGTCATTCAGCATGTTAGTGGTGGGTCTGCAGCTGGAGCAGGGGCTCTCGAACCCCAATGGGAGCCCCACCTGTACCACCATACCTTCCCTCTGAATAATAGCATTTAAATCCTGAAAAGCTTTGCCCTAGATTAGGCTACATTCTTGTCGCACCTGGCTCTTTTGTAAACCCTGGGATTCTCTGTAGACAAAGAGGAGAGCCCACAGCTTGGGATAAGAAACCACAGTGCAGGAGACTTGAGCAAGGTGTGCCCAGCTTCAGTAGCCTCCCAGATTAGTGCTGAGGACAGACAGAGCTCAACAGCCCAGGGGCCAGGACGGGACCTGGGGCTCTGGGCAAAAGCACAAGACCAACAGGAGGGAGGACTGTTGCCTGGAGACAGTGGGCACGAAATTAAGGTGCGACCCGGTATCAGAGGTTGTCACACCGTGCAGGGCCGAAGGACAGACTGCTGACTTGTGGGGAGAAGTGTCCCCAGGGGGCCCATTTTCCAGTCTGAGACAGGCCTCTGCTAGGGAGGCGCTTCATGATTCTGAGCAAATGAGTAAATGGAGTTTCGGGAGTGAAGGAGGCCTTTCCAGACACTGCTCCTTCTCCAGCTCTCTAATCCACCTGAGTAGCCCCACCTGTTTGGAGTGAGGCAGGGGGTGCAAGGAAATCCCAGCATGGGTCCCCTTTCTGGACTTGGACACCACAGCAGCGGCCAGCTCTAGCAGGTTCTGGAGTAAGGGGGAAGAGCCTTCAGGGTGGCTCCTGGCGTTCAGTAAGGGGACTGACTCCAGGCTCTGCATTGCAGGCAGGACAAGCTGAAGATCCACATGCGGAAGCACACGGGGGAGCGGCCCTACCTGTGCATCCACTGCAACGCCAAGTTCGTGCACAACTACGACCTCAAGAACCACATGCGCATCCACACGGGCGTGCGGCCCTACCAGTGCGAGTTCTGCTACAAGAGCTTCACGCGGTCCGACCACCTGCACCGCCACATCAAACGCCAGAGCTGCCGCATGGCCCGGCCCCGGCGCGGCCGCAAGCCCGCCGCCTGGAGGGCCGCCAGCCTGCTCTTCGGGCCCGGCGGCCCGGCGCCCGAGAAGGCGGCCTTCGTGATGCCGCCCGCGCTGGGCGAGGTGGGCGGCCACCTGGGCGGGGCGGCCGTGTGCCTCCCGGGCCCCAGCCCCGCCAAGCACTTCCTGGCGGCGCCCAAGGGCGCGCTGAGCCTGCAGGAGCTCGAGCGGCAGTTCGAGGAGACGCAGATGAAGCTGTTCGGGCGCGCGCAGCTGGAGGCCGAGAGGAACGCGGGGGGCCTGTTGGCCTTCGCGCTGGCCGAGAACGTGGCGGCCGCGCGGCCCTACTTCCCGCTGCCCGACCCGTGGGCCGCGGGCCTGGCGGGCCTCCCGGGGCTCGCCGGCCTCAACCACGTGGCCTCCATGTCTGAAGCCAACAACTAGGCTGGCCCTGTCAACCCCAGTCTGGCGGCCCTGTCCCCTCTCCCACCGGGCCACCCCTGCCCCACCCAGTGGGTCTGAACTTTTTCTTTGAAACACAAAGGAAACATGAAAAAATATTATCAGCAACAGTGGTATTTCCCAGGCCTCCTATGGCCTCCTGCCTCCCTTTTGAAGGTGTCTGAGATGGACATCTCCTCCCAAAGGGCCTGGAGCCCCGGGCCTGGCCTCCACCTGTCTGTCGCTCTGGCTGTCACACAGAAACTCACAGGGGCCTGTGCCACAGAGGAGGCCACACCCTGGGTGCCCAGGAGCACTTTGGAGCTGTGTGGGGCTAGATGGAGGAAGGGAGCTTGGCCAGAGGCAGACCGGATGGAGCAGGGCTGAGGCCTACCCGTAGGGCTTGGGGCACACATCCTCACCTAGCTGCAGCCCTATGGCAGAGTCTCTACGGACCCGTCTCTGCTGGGTCATTTTTCTAGTCTCCAGCCATCCTGGGATCCTTATGGGAAATGCCCTGTTGGCAGGGAGGGCTCCTGGAATCCGGGCCCATTTTTCCCTCACTGTGCTGTAACCCCGGACAGGTCAGTCCTCTACCCTGCTACAAAGGGGGGCTGCTAATTTAGTTTCCCCTCCCAAACCCACCCACACACATACACACATCTACACACCTGTCCCACCACAAAGAATTCTTGAGAAGGTGGGAGCTTTGCACTCCTAAAGTCCTATTGAAAACATCTGTCTTACCGGATTTGGTTTAATCATGTCTGCCTCTATATTAGCACAGGTGAGAAATGTGGCCAAACTAGACAGGGGTGACAGAGAAGAGCTGAGGTGTGGCTTGTCCACAGGCAGCTTTGGGGAACTCCAGGTACTCCCCACCTCTCAGGCAGGCAGGCCACTGTGTCAGGGCCCTGGGGATGACTCTTTAAGCATTTACCCCACCTCCACACACCCCCTCCAGGGCTGTACAAAGTCTCTTGGGACCCCTGGGGCCAATACAGAAGGGATGGGAGCCACCTCTTAACACCTGATGACTGCCCCCCTCCACCCTGATTCCTGGAAACAGACAAAGCACCTGGTTACCCAGGGTTGATGTTTGTTGTGGGTTTCTAGGGGCTTTGGTATCTCTGGGGGTTGCCCCCTTTGCTGTATTTGAGCACCCTCCCTCATCCCTCGGGGAGGAAGCTGGGGTGTTTGACTTCCCTTGGTGGTGGGAAACAGAATCTTGGCTCCATTATGGGTTTGAAGGGCTCTGGGAGTTAGGGCTGCACGCACACTCTCCCTGGTTCCTGAGTTTGTAGCAAGTTCTGAGAAGGAAGACCGCTTTGCTGGCCCAGCGCCTTCCTGCTCTTCTCTCCCCTTTCCTGCCCCTGTCCCCCTTCTCTTGCTGAGGTGGCCTTTGTTTCTCAGCAGCCCCGACAGTGGGAGGGTTCATCTGCGCGGATTACGCAGGGCCTGTGTCCCCAATCCAGGAGCTGTGGACACAAGAGACTTCGGCTCTTCTTATCGCCTTGGCTTCTTCCTGAGCAAACACAAAAAAACAAAAAGGCCAGAGAAGACCACAGACTCTGACCCCCTTGCAGCTTCCCAGAAGAGAACCCTGACTCCTCACTCCCCCAAATGCCATTCCAATCAGAGGGAACTGCTTCTGACACCCTTTTGTCTTCAGATGCCATCTTTCTGGGCAGCCGCCTCTTAGATTCCCGGCTCCGTTTCTGACACTCGCTTCTGGGACCCATCCACCGACATCCCCATGCTTCCCCCCCATCAGCCAAGGGATTGGGGCTGACCCAAACTTTAGAAGAAAACAAGGAAAAATGAACAAATTGGAATCCAGTGGTGTTGGGGCTTTTGTTTTTATTTTGTAAAGGTAACGACTTCTTATAAACTCAGTTTTTCAGACGACTCGTTACTTCTTTTTGTTTTCTCTCGGCTGCAGTGTGGAGTCGTACATTGTAAAATATCCAAAGATCTTGAGTACTGTATGATGGAGAAGAACCTGATGCAAATGGGTTGTGGGGGGCAGGGGTGCTTGTGTTTTGTTTCTTTTGTTTTTCTTTGTTTTTCCTTTTCTTTTCTTCCTTTGGTGTTTCCATTTCCCTGTCTGTGGGAAAACTTTGGAATTTTTTCCTATTTATAACTTTCTTTTTATGTGAATTCTTTATGTAAAATGACACAACAGAGTTTGCCTTAGTGATTCAAAGGACAATCTTCCATAACTTTGGTCGCACGCCCCACCCCACCGAGAAAAACTCTCAGCTAATTTTCTGGCCTATTTATTAAACAGTATGAATTGACTTGATTGAATTATTGAGAGTTGCACTTCTGTGAGAGGTGACCAGCAACAAGTTAATGGCTAGGTGTTCACCGCAAAAAGGATTTGACGACCCGGTGTCACGGGCGTACCATACTGTCCAAGACATCTTTGCCAAAAACACAAACCTTTGACCCCTACGCTTGAAGGCCAGTGTGGCGAGGAGCTATGCTTACTCAGTTTCCTGGTTCAGGCTGACTTCCTCGTTCCAGTGCTCCCTTCAGGTGTCAGGGGTGGTTCCGTGCTGGGGAGGCCAGAGCCGAACTCCTCAGCGTCTCCTACCTTTCAGAGGCGCGAGGCACTGGGCGATCACAAGCTTTTGCGCATCCGCGAGCCTGAGTGCAAAGTTGTGCGTGTGCGCGTGCGCGCGCCTCTGCACGCCCGTGCGCAGGCGCAGGCGCAGTCTGTGGTGTGTGAGCCGGCGGAAGCCGCGGGCTTGCTGACCTTTTTGGCACCGCCAGGCCTCTGAGTTCCCTACTGTGCCATCCACGGCGGCCTCCCTGTGCCCTTGCCTTCTCTCGTTTCCTGGCAATGGAGCCGGACTTCTCTTCCCTTCTCACCACAGCCTCTTTCCCAGGGAACACGAGATCCTCAAAGAGGTAAGCATGGCCGTTGAACGGGGTCAACTCTACTCAGAACCCAGAGCGCGGACTTTCTGCGTAAAACTGTTCTTCGAGCTGTGTTTTCTGGATAACCCAGGGTTCCCCAGAGCCCCTTTTCTGCTTGCAATCCCCTTTCTTGACATGGTCAGCATTCTTTTTTTCCTTTTTTTAAGATTTTATTTATTGGGGCGCCTGGGTGGCTCAGTCGTTAAGCATCTGCCTTTGGCTCAGGTCATGATCCCAGGGTCCGGGGATGGAGCCCCGCATCGGGCTCCCTGCTCAACAGGAAGCCTGCTTCTCCCTCTCCCACTCCCCCTGCTTGTGTTCCCTCTCTCGCTGTGTCTCTCTCTGAGAGAGACCTAAATCTAGAATAAAAGATTTTGTTTATTTATTTGTCAGAGAGCACAAGCAGGGGTAGCGGCAGGCAGAGGGAGAAACAGACTCGCCACGGAGCAGGGAGCCCGATGCGGGGCTCGATCCCAGGACCCTGGGATCATGACCTGAGCCGAAGGCAGACGCTTAAGGGACTGAGCCACCCAGGTGTCCCATGGTCAGCATCCTTATAAACCAAATGCGGCATTTCTCCGTACAGAGGAAAGAACAAATGTGGGTTTCCAGACTCCTCCGCACAGTGTGTCCTCAGGCTACTCCCTTCCCTACTCTGGTCCTCCCCTTGCTCACCTCCAAGTTTTCCACCCAAATGCCTTTCAGCAGTGGGGGGGTCAGTCAGTTGGGGAATGGGGACTGAACTCTAAAAAAATTGCCTGAAGCACCCTTCTCATAGTGTAAAATTCTGCAGTTGCGGGTTGTGGCTTCGAAATTCGTTCCTCTACATTCTATCACATAATATATATGCATTTGTCTTAATATAAAAATATCATCTTGAACTACTTACCAGTTACGTTACTTGTCTTCCTCCCTGCCCCCCACCCCCAGAATCCTCTAGTAAAGCCAGAATGTTCCCCAGCTACCCTGCAGCTTTGAGAGGCCCAGGCTCATGGCTGAGGGCTTTGGGGGTCAGCACAGCCCAGTGCAAGAAATATGAGGCCAGGTACTCACCAAGATTTCACTCAGCTCAGGCATCCTAGGCTCACTGGGTCCTCAGTCTGGGAGCCTATGTCCACTGAAGGCTGTAGGTAAACATGGAGGAGAGGTAGGGAGTGGGTCCAATATAGCCTTGACCCCTTCGGGCTCCGAAACCCATGTGAGTAAAATCTCCGCTCGTCCTGGCCAGGTGGATATTCCGTGGAGCCCTGCCGGGCGTGGCCCGCTCCCTCCGGCCCCAACGTGCTAAGGGAGTTGGGGTGCTGACAGCAAAGGACCCTCCAAGCACGGGGGGTGGGGGGAGGAGGGAAGGGTTGGAGAAGGGGGCCATTGAGGACAGAGAGCCGAGTGCATCTTAATCTGGAGAGGAAGGCTTAAGGGATCCATGAGAACGGATCTTGGAACTTCTAAAGCTCTGTCAGGGAGAGGGAGGATTTTACCAAAAGTCTGGCCAACTCAAACCAATAGGAGAGAGATTCCAGGAGGTAGCTGGACGTCTGAGCAAAGGAAGGTAGCTTCTAACATCTACAGTTGTCCCAAAGAGGAGCAAAGTCCCTTGTGAGGCAGTGAGCTCTCAGTCAGTGGAAGGGTTCAACACAGCCTTTCAGGAGTGGCAGACACAAGCGTCCTGTACCGAAGGAGGTCTGTCCCTTGGGTCCTCTCCATCTGATTTGTGAAAGGGTGAATAAACATCCTCGTGTGACTGTGGGAGGAGGACTGTGCCACGGAGAGGGGGTGACAAGTGAAAAAGATGAGCTGGGACAAGCTCACGAAGCCCAGCTGGGTGGCCCAGGGCCGCCTGCCCTCCCCCCACCCGCAGCCCTTGCCCTGTGACCGACAGCAACTTGGGGCCAGGAGAAACGGGACTCTGTCAAAGAGGCCCTGACTCATTTTGAGACCCTGATTATGTGACAGAAGAGTATCGAACCAACAGGAATCAAGGACTGCCTCTCACCTTAGGCCTTTCTCTGCCCCCAGGACCTGCCCTTACAGAATGAAGGTCTTCACTTGCGAGGTTGCAGAGGCCCAGGCCACGTCCT